GCTTAAAAAACAACAATAACTTTCATCATTTGAATAGTTTAAAAATGTATTTGGAATAGGTTTAAGTTCCCTATTTAAAAAATAGAAAACATACGAATCTTCTCATTTAATACGAATCTTTTCATTTCCGTAAACAGAAGTAGTCCCCCCCTGGAAATACTCAAAATGACGCACGTCGAGGGGGGTGACTGCTTCTGTTTACGGTACTTGCTCAGTGACGAATCATGACGAATAGTGCTTACGCAAAAACCAATGGAGATGGACTTCTGTACAGTATTCTGTGTCATCTGTTTCTGGAATCTGAAATCGAGGCAATGACTTAGTTTGAATATTTATTTAGAAACGCGACATTCTCACGCGGACCAAGCAAGCCAGAGACGCTCTACGTATCGACAATGTGAAGTTACGTCAGAAGTGTGGGCTGTTGGGTAATGAACCGTTACTCCGTGATTACGAAGAGAGGAAGGACGAGGTAGGATTGGGGGGTGCCGAAAATTCAAGGGAGATGAGAGCGCAGGGGGGAGGGGGGTTTCGGTAAAATTGATTATGAAGAGAGGAAGTTACAGTATAGGGCAAAAAAATATATATGTGGGTTTCCGGTTTCCCGACCCTACTAGCTTTTGGACGTCGAAATCCCGACCCTAAACTTTTTTATTGCATCATGCTTGTAAGTGTTTCCCCTTAGAGGAAAACGTTTGTGGAAAATTGAAATTTGAGGCAATATTAGGGAAATTTATCTTTGGATGTGGAAGCACTGACTAAACAAAATGGCGTCCTGTTGTTAGGAAAATTAAAAAGTTAAAACCGACCTACCCTACCTACCTATGTTTTTGTAAGAAGAAATAATATTTTTTGGCCTAGTTAGGCCGGCAGACCAAATGCCGTGCTTTGTTTTCATTTCTTATTTCAAAAATCCTATTATGCTTTAATCCTGTCACAGAATGTATTGTTCTCAACCGATTTTTTGGCAGAGTAGCAAAGGCTTAATATTCACGTCGTGTTAATTAATTAGATGGATGCGGAAATAGCCAAATAAATTGCCTTGTTATGGTGAGGATTTTGAAAATGGTGATTTCCTGCCTTTGTATATGGATGACAAAAACGGAACATTTCGAAATTGTGACGTCATCTATGACGTAACCGACCTGGTTCGTTCGAGCTATCTGAGCATGCGCTCGTATTGAGCTTGCGTGCTTTTCAGCTGACGTGCTGAGTCTTGAACGGGATGAACTAATTGTCGATGCTGGTTTGTTCCGGTTAAGTTGATTTCAAAATCAGTCGTGGACAATGGTTTCAGTTCATGGACAATCTTGAGTCCATATCTTGGATTTTTGAAGACACATACGCTTTTCTTTCAACATTTGTTTAATCTTATATTCCGTGGTTTTACTGCGGTGAACCAGCTGTCATTGTGCTGATAAAAACTCTTGTACGTGAGATATATCTCATTGAACGTGTCATTAGACATTCTTGTATATTACTGCGGTTGCCACTTTTTGAATAAATTATAACATTTTGATGTTCCTTGTAAGATTCCATGTCAAAAACGCCTCGTTTATCGTCAGTACCTGAATTATTATCGCATTTAGTGTGTGTGTGGGGGGGGGGGGGGGGGGG